GAAGGTAATATCGCCCAGACTATATTCCTACAGAGAGTATAATCTTATTATAAAAATACTATTAAACGGTATATAAATATCAATAATATGATGTCTCATACTAAAGTTCGCGAATTAGCGACATAGTATAATAAATACTTTACGGCTAAACTGAATTGCGACTTTATTTAAAGTAATCTTCTTGGAATACCATATGTGAATTTCAGTATTTCTTCTATTCTTATATTTTTTTTATCTTACCAGTAATACTTTTCGAATTTGGTTTGTTATTGCAGTTCTTAAAGTTTCCATCCATATTGCATTAAGTATCATTGATATTTCCAATAAATGTTTCTTTTACGTTTTTATCGCTTATTTTAGGTTTTTTATCGTATAAAGATACGAAAAAACCTTCTTGTATTTTCTGGAAATAGAAAACTATTACAGAAAAAAAGATCTAGTAAGTAAATAAAGAGAATAATCGATCACAATAATTTATTTGTTGGTTTGGAAAAAAGTTCTTTAATATAACATATGTACAGGTACAATGTCAGAACCACAGAAATAATGTAAGAAGCATTTGATAAGCTGGAATACAAACTGAGTTTGAAATGTTACGAAGGATGGGAGAAACGTTGGAATTCGTGTACAATATCCATCAAGGAGACCTGCACTTTGAAAGAGATCACGTTTCGACTTAGCAACTAAAGATGTATTGGCACTTTTGTACGCTTTAGGTGAACATATGACTATCATGTATGAGTATGCGCATCAATATAACGTTTATCACATTAATAAAAGCTAGACATCTCAGATACATATCCGATTTTGACCGGCTAAGATGTGACAAATTATATTTCCTCGTATGTGATAAACATAATGACTTATATCAAATAGTTATAGTATAAAAACATTTAAAGTTTACACTGTAAATAAAATCCAGCATATTCTTTCGAGCGATACACATTTGTTTTCAAGACAAAATTCAATCCAACTGTAGTTACGGTTTTATTGCTTTGCTATATATGCATCTTTGAATAATCTACGATAATTATTAAAATTATTGAGTTACATGTAAATGATAATAATGCTACTAAAATTGCATACTTTTCGTGTCAATATGATAGCTCCATATTAATAACGGATAAACATTAATTTCATTAGAAATTAATTTTTGAGAAATAAATTGGCATTTTTACTCATTTATGCAAACATATATTGTTCATATTTTGTACTGTAATATTAGAAAATGTCTAAAAATTTTATATGCAACTTAAAAAAAGACAACAATAAGAGAAATAAAACCGTTATAATATACAATTAAATTAGAATAAAATGCCATTTACTGTCTGAGTTTAGATCTTTAGTAGCCTAATATTAATTAAATCTAAAATACCTATAACAAATCTACAATACTTATAACAAATCTCAAATATTTCATGTGCACAGAAATTAATATTAGGTTACTAAAGATTTAAGCTCAGATCGTAAATGGCATTTTATTTTAATTTGATTGTAAAACATAACAAGTTTTCAGTGAAAATGGTAATAACAAAGATATAACTATTATATAACCATCCAGAGTAAAAAATTCCTTTGCATTGGAAAACAATAAGCTTCGGAAAAAGCAGAAATAAAAATAATGATTCGCTGCAACTGTGTCATGCATTATTTAAAAGTTTCTTGGTCTATCAGAATAACACAATTTCATTGTATATATATATATATATATATATATATATATATAACTTTATGTAACAAATCTAAAATATAATAACCTTTATCAAAAATAATTATTCTCACCATTAAAGAATATCTTTTCAAATCTTTTTGATATATTTGAAATGTGTAATATTATTCCTTGTATATTATTAGTTTGTAGAGTATTTGTATGTGTGAAGGAAACAAAAGTTTAATCTGTAGTTGTAGATTATTACAGCGGGAGAGAAAAGGATTTGGCGGGAGTTTGGTGAAGTTTTTATCGATGGAAATTTAGAGAAAAAGTGACTGTATTGATCTTGTCAAATTTTGAGAAGCATGTAATATTCAGTACATAAATTCCTTTCCTTCGCCAATAGTGGCTTATCAAATTTCTTTTGCTCTGACAAATTGTAAAAGACGCAACTTTATCACAAACTCCCTCAAAAGAGGGCCATACTCCCTCTCTCTTCGTAATCTTACAACACTCATTTTCACCCCGAAAGAAATTTTTTAAGGGGAAATTTTCCGTCAGACGTAAATTCTATTTATAGAAGCTGTAATTTATAACTTATATAGATTAATCTATTATTATAATCTATAATTTAATAGAGAAGGACAGAGAATTAATTAGATATGTATAAAGGAATTATTTAAAAAATATGGAGTTCCATTTCGGTAAGACTAATTGTGTATTATAAGACTTTACTTAATGTCATATCTTTATACGTGCATTTTTTAAAAGACATCGATATTCGCATTTTATTACAGCGATGTTTAGTCGTCTCATTGTGTGCTTTATTTATATGATAGATTAATTTTAATGTTAATAGAATTAGTAATAAAGTGAGAATAATTTTATTCATTACAGAAAACTCATCAGCTTGAAGAATTTTATAAATAATGATAGAATGTTTATTAATTTGGGTATAGCATGCGATATTTTATTTTATCTTTTCTTTTCACAAATATTTTGCTGTCTTTTTACATTTGCTGTGTAGACCGATACACATAAGTAGTATTAGATATTACAATTTAAATTTTTTCACAAACAACAAATTCTACGTATTAATAAAAAATTTAATATTCAGAATAAGGAAACAAAACTAAAGATTAAAAATTAAATAAAATTTGACAGCAGTATTATAATATTAATAATACAGTTTCTTTAGTTACTGGAACAAACCTACTATGAACCAATAATGCAAATTTGCATAGTGCATACATTATCAAGTATTCTAATTCGATTAAATAATATATCGAGTAGGTACAATTGTAATAGAATAAGGGTGTGATAGATAATAACCAAAATTTGAGATGTAGAAAATATAGCCTAATATCGCAATTGCAAATCACAACCAAAATATGTTTTAGAAAAAAACATCTTGACGAATTTTAATGACTAATACTTAAATACATTAAGAAATATAAAATAATATATCTCTTAGAAAAATAAATCATTAAAACGTGAGATATAACATATAAGTAAAAAATAAAAATAATAATTGGCTTACGAGGAGAGGTTTTTACAGTGTCAAACGAATTTGGGGGTAAGAAAAATTTCTTTCTACGTATTTTAAATGAAAGAAACGAATCTAGCTTTTAAAAATCTCTCCGGGAAGCGGAGTAAAAAACCTCTCCTCGTTAGAAGTAAAAGATCGATTAGATATACAACGCTGAGATATACAATACTTTATATTATGTAAATATATTATCAAAATAGGAGGCAATTTATAAGATAGGTTTATCATTTATATTATGTTTTAAAGTATAATTGTATGATATAGGCAGATTTTTATATTATCAGAAATTAATTTTATTTATTTTAATAACTAGACAGAAATGTTATGTTATATAAATATAATGCATATTGTAATGTGTACATACTTTTTATATTTTAAAATGCATTATTTTCGTAAAACTTTTAATATTGTTCATGTGTACTTTTAATAAATTATATGTATTATGTTTTATATAATGTAACTCATTCCAGTTACTAAATGTGCTTAGCTAAATGCATTTAGCAGATAATTCGAGCAATAATCAAAAAGCTTATTAAAGCTCATTAAATATAATTTGTACAAGTTATTTAATTTAATAATTACTGCAGATTTTTAATAATGTACCTATGTAATTTATGTGAGATATAATATATACACAATTTCTTGGAAGAAGATTTCAGTATATTGCAAACAGAAGAAAGATCAAAATTAAAAAGCATGGAAGCTGGATAATTCTCTTACAATGAAAAGAAAAAGAATCATCTTAAAACGCTTATAATTTCATTAGAATACTAAACAAATAAAACTGCGGTTTTGTTGAGCACGGTTTTCCTTTCGAAGTGGTCATTTCTTTTATTTCAAAAGAGGTCAAAATGCACCACTAGTATATATTGCGATGGCGCCAGTGCGTGTCCATTGCAAGCACGTGGAAGTTACAGAGGTCGCCCTGAGAATCGCGAGCTTTCAAACTCCGCAGCAGTCAGTCGCCAGCCGCCCGTGCTGTATCAACCGGGAGTGGTATATTCTTTATCTCGCAAAATTTGTTTTCTGTCATTATTATAAGGCTTACATATAATATTCAAACCGTCAGATTTTCGTTGGGGTGAGTGACAAAGATAATCGATTTGATTGATCAGTTCTTATGGAAATTTTTCACTTATAAGACACATGAGTGAGAAGACGCACAGATAAGTTAATCATCACGTATCTTATTATTTGCAACAAATTTCTCGTGAATTTTGATAGATTCTTTTTATCAAATGTGAATGAAAAGAAGAACAGTTTGTAACCGATAGTGAGTAAAATTACAGTAGTCAACAATGATCACATACACACACACATACACACACGTGAGATCAATAAAAACGTTAACCGCATATGCACTGCTTAATTACGGTTTCTCCTTTTGTCCAAGCGCGTTGCTTGTTACGAGTTAGTTAATTAGTTGGCTGAGCGTTAGCAAAAAAGTGCAAGACAGTTCAAGTTGTAATAATTTCAATTTATATCTGTTAGTTTTTTGTAATAAACTAAACAATAATAAATAGATATTAATTATTTATACTTTGACCATGTATGTAATTCATACAATTTAAAAGCTGGACAAAAAACCTTTTTAATTCTAAAATTGAATAAATAATTAAGATAACCATTTTTTTATCATTGTAAGTTTATATTCTTAAAATTTTTTATCTTTGTAAAATCACTTTTTTATGATTGTTCAATGTACAAATAATAATTATTTCTCCAAAATTGTGCTCAATTTACTTATTCGAAAATTTTGACGCCTTAAAGATTTAATTTTTACTTTTTTATTTAAACAATTTCAAGTACTTTTCGATTTTTCTGTAATACTTTACTGTGATTGTTGAACTGTGACTGTTTTTGTTAAATATTAACATGATAGCATAGCATAGCATATTTTTGAGAACGACGATGTAAAATAGTCGAAATTTATACAAAATTTAAATATTTGAAAGAATATGTAACACGGTCTCTCTAGGCAATTTTGCAAATTGCGTATGTTAAAACTCTGTCAAATAACACGTTTTTAAAAATTTATTCAGCTCCAGAAACTACTAGTTTAAATGATATGATCGAAAAACGTCCGAGTCTGCATGATAATATTTTGATGTTGAAATGCATTTATTCGAGACACAGAGCAAAGCGCCAAACGTACGATTCTGCATTTTCTGAAAATTCTATCCTCCTGAATGATGCATATCTGCCGATAACGAACATTGCAGCTTCCTATAATCGATTTCACGTGCCACGACGAATAATGGTTGACACGATCAGCGATCCGTCCTATCCGTCTTCCTATGTAAATGATTCGGTACAAGGGACGGAGATCGTAAGCCATGCAGCCGTTCAATTTCCATCGTAGGTGTGCACGCCTACGAACGATCCGAGTTAAATGACAACGATGAAAACAACGGCATAATTAAAATTCATCGATTTATAGATCGCTCGACTATATACATAAATTGGACGGTGTTAAAATAACTCGAAGAATTATGACGACTAAAATATAATAATGTTTTATAAAACTTTTTTGTCATATTCTCAAGGCAGCTATTCGCAAATTAAATTAAATTATTATGCGACAAAATAGATTTATTAGCTTGAAATTGCATTATTTCGGGTATTTATCTTTTACATCTCTATATATGGGATTACCTAGATATATAGCCTTTCAATCCTAGCTACGCAAGGATATCAGCATCTTCCAACTAATCTACATTAATGCGCTTAGGAAGGGGAAGTTCTTGCAGTCAAGTTGTGCAACGTAGTCTCATCGGCAAAGTTGCTTTGTTACTCATTCGAGTTGAGAAATGACTAAATTCCTAATTTCGAGAATATGAATTATGTGGATATATATTCGTACGCATCTTAATAATATATTTAATAAAACTTCTCATAATTTTTTTTAAATCCTTTCTATTTCGTTTTTCGAAAATGTGCATAAATTTGATAATAAACGCGAATAAATTGAGATAGTTTTTAGCATTTTTCTTCTTTGGACCCTCCAAAAATGGCTTACACGCTGTGAGCCTCGAGTTCCTGATAATCTCGACGATAAATTCGATGTACTATCAAGGAGACGGGATACGTGCCAGCCTTGCTAAATGTCGGGCGTATACCCTGGATACAGACGAATGAGGCGCTTTCTGGATACGGAACCGATTCTGCTCCGTCTTGCTTTAAATGGCAAAGGATTGACCCGGATCAACCTTTTAAAGTTATACCCTGATAAACCACGCTCGAACAAAAGGTCGGCTGAGAAACCGTTCCGGTGATTCGATTGCACGTGAACGAGAGGTGTCCGTAAGATTTCTTACTCTTTACACTCGCTTTCCCTACTTTCTTTCTTTCAACTCCTACTGCATACGTCTTCATCGCAGTGCAACCCATTGTTCTTTCGTCTGCTCGCTAGATTTTCATGCCTGATCAATGTAGTTCGCTTTTAAATGTGCTCCGCGTGGAGCACATCGATCAGGCATTTCAGTTTGCACACGGATATCGACAGATTACGTCGACACATATTTCTTAAAATATACACTGCAAGAGAGTCGTTAATTTTGTATAAATGGGGCATGATTTCTTTCAAATATCAATAAATGCGCTAAATGTAATATAAAACGAGTAATGCCATGCATTTTTATAAACTTTTTATAAACTTTATAAATTTCTTTTTATTTTTATATCAGTTATTTTCCTATCTATTAACGTTTTTCATATTTTTTTTATTCCAGAAAAGTTGTGCAAAATATAAAATTACGCGTGATTCTCAATAAATGCAGACGTGTAAAAGATATTTAAATACAAGATTGAAACATTGAAACTAATATCTTTCCGATTCGATGCGTACAATGTTAACTTCAACCATTATAGGAAACTATACCTACAAACTAGGAACCGTTAATATCGGGGATCATGTCTTTAGCGCAGCGACTTACGACTCTCTAGTGGATTACCTATAATATGATTCGCCGATAAGTTCATTAATCCAACTAGCTTCTGTACCCAGGAAGAACACGGTTTTAATTAAAAACTTAATTCCACGACATTTACCCGAGGCGTAATCACACTGAATACGCGTGTATACTGTGTATTTGAGTTAGGCCGATATCCAAATAACGTAGTTATTATCTCGCAATTTTGCCGATAATTTGCCCACATTGTATAAATCGGGCATGCAACAAGCTTCTATAGCCTCGTCCCAATCAGCTCGTGATTGATGACGAGATCGCCACTAATAATCCGCGGGGGAGACTCCAATATACTGGCTACTCTAATAAATTGCGCGTATAATCAAATAAATAATCTTCGACATTACGAACGTCGCGACAACGTCGAACTTGACGGTAATTATTATTACTGCGAGAGCATTAACTCGATGAAGAATATCTCAACATTTTCACCGACTCGTAAATCGATGCTCTGTATAGCGAGGCACTATACAATTCTGGCACTGAAATCTCTGCAGCTTTCATAAGGCGGAAGTTTCTCTCTTTACGCTACACAGGGAGCGGAGATTGAATTATTTTTCTTTTCCCGTTCCGAAAGGAGAGTCGCTCTCAGAAAGTAAACAATTACGTGAGAAAGTAAACGGACTCGCGACTGTGACAATTGTACTAGGTTTATGCGAAGATATTTTGAGAACGTTGACATCGCACCAACGTTATCAATAGTCAAATTGTTCGTGTAATTCGCCGTTCACCAATAACCGCTTAGCTGACTTTTAGCTTTGTTAAACCGACAGCCGCAAGAAATCGTGTTAAAGAGTTAAAGTAGTATCTCGTACGAACTTGGAAAACTCATTTACTTTTTGTTAACACGCTCCTTTTGATGCTTGAATGTGTTTGCGTAAAAGTCGTGTAATAAAACATGTAAAAGACATGTAATAAGCTGCGCTAGCATTACAAAGGGATTCTTTGTGCTAATGCATATAAAGCAGAATCTCGGAGCCGAATTTGAGCGACAAATACTCTGACAAATTTTTCTCTTGCAAAAAAGTTTTGCGATAAAACGAACGGATGATAAATGGCTCTTCCGCCGGAACGTTACGTCCGAAAATACTCGAATTTATGCGCCCTACTATTATAGATATATAGCAATTAGTTGTCATTTGCGAGACTGGAATAACATACGATCGTAACACATCCCCTTTTGTTCGCGAGCTTCTCGTACCAATTCACTCTCCCGTCATTAACCCTTTCCTCTGCGTTTCGTGTATTACTATCGATCGCAGCGTTTGAGCTATTTAGCGTACCTACCAAATCGCTTTTTCTTTCTTTTACTTTTATTCTCTCTCCCTCTCACTTTTTCTTTCTTTTGCAACATTGAGCACATCGCTCACGACGATTTATCGAGAGTCAATGCTTACCTTACAGCTACCTTATTAACGTAATTCAAATAATCGTGATTATTTCCGTTGAACGTAACCAAACATCACCATTCACCGCCGTAAACGCCAGAATTGTACCTCCAGTTTAAAGAACAAGGCTTTAAAATTACAAAACTCGCTACCGCACGTGTAAGTCTCTCGCTTGGTCTCCTGCCGCGTTTCTTTTCCGGTATCGGTAACCTGACGGCTGCAACGTGACATCACGAGCGGCGAGCAAGATCGATCGATCCGGAAACGTGCCGCGCGGGTTGTACTCCCGCGAGATCCGAGTCGAGTCCTCTGCAGACCCTTTGCTACACAGAGAGCCCTCATAGAACTCGAATCTCTTGAAGCGCGTCTCGAGAAAGGCCGATATACAAGTGCGGGGAGACGAATAGAACAATCGTTCTTTTGCCTCTCAAATTCGCACAATGTTTTCCATCGTCAGACCGTAAAAGACTATTAATACGAAGAAAGACCAACTTAGAGAAAAGGATATTTTAGTTTTTTAAATCATTTATTATCCTAAAGTGAAGCTAATATGGGGAATGTAATCTATATTGTATTCAGAAATACCGGAAATTTTTGCTCATAATCTTCCTTTCATTCCGTCGAGGAAGATTTAATATAACTTCAACAATCGCTAAAATGATCTCATATCTTAATAATGCTTTTGTCTTCACCAATCTCATTGTTAAACTTAGGTGACAACACGACATGTTGTATATAATGTTAAGCAAGTGTGTTAGACACAGTTTATACAGAAATATCGTGACAATTGCGTCGTTGAGATATATATCCTTGAAGCTAATTCAGTGTTAAATATATATAAATAATATTTTACATTTATATAGATATTATTTTCACTGCATAACTGAGGATATTATAGAAAAACATCTGTATGATGTTTAGGATGTTTAGGATTGCAAATGTTTAGGATGTTTAGGATTGCAAAATGTGAAAAAGTATTGAAAAAGTTAAAGAAAGAGAGAATGATTGAAAAATAAGAATCTTAGAATTTTCTTTAACAATTTTTTTCTATTGAGTTGCATAATTGCAAACACAGTTTCCAAAAGTTATCTAAATATAAACGTGATTTATTAAAAATATATTTATATTGTGTGTATATAATAGAGAAAATGTGCAGCAAACCACTTCGTTCATCAACTGCGGTTTCAACAATAAGTTACGTGATTCGTCGCATCATAAATATCAGTGGGAAACGACTTCCTGGAACGTTATAACGGATTCCGCACTACTTCCAAAGCCGAAAAGCAGTATCGTTACTCCGGAGGAAATCTTTGGAAGTCGCACATGTTGCGACGCCACAGCTATTGGCAATATCTCGCTGTTGTGCGCACGTGAATTATTTTACTGAACCTGGTAAATATTTCATTCGCCGTTTTTGAACGTACCGAACTTTATTCTCTCTACCATGCTATAAAAATATGTAAGAAAAATAAAATAATAATTATGTCATATACTGAAAGCCGTAATAATGTAGATTTTCATGTTAAATATTTTAATGCACATTATAATTAGCAGTAAATTTCCCGTAAATGGCGTATAGAAAGTTATTGTTAAGTCAAATCTTACTTTTGAAAATTTAGCAACATCCGGAACACCCTCGCAAAATACAAGCAGTTATAAAGCAATTGCTATTAAATGAGTAGCAATTAAAAGAGCGTGCTTTTCGCCGCTCTTGATAGGGGCAAACGTGCGGAGAGATTTTAGCGCGCATTGAAAGCACGCCGGATATCACTCGCACAATAATGGCAAGATTTGCATTGCAAATCCTCTCACCTTGTTATTCGGACACAATAATCCAGCCGCCTACCAGGCCAGATTGGTTGCGCATATCTCAAGATGAAAATCCCGAAGGCGCCCGATCGCCTATATCTTCTTTCCTGGATAGAGATAGCAATTTCTGCTTTACGGTCACAAACTGGCTGCAGGTGAATCCCCGAGAAACTGCAAAAGTTCCGCTGCCTAGCTCTGGTGTTACCACTCTCTTCCCTTCTAACTATCCGATGTATTACCTGCTTGTTTCTTCTTCGCTCCGTATCTCCTCTCTTCCTCTTCTCCTCGGTTTTCCTATATACTTCCATTTCTCTCCCGCTCTTGACAAATGTTCTACATCTCTGCGGCCAGGAATATGCCAATATTCTGTCGAAGAAATCTAACGAGCTAAGCTTCATAACATCAATTCTATTAGATGCGTGAACGCCTTCGAAAACAATATATCCAAAGTTTGTCGAGAGAGTTGGCTTATAGGTTCTCGCTTAAGTTCGAGAACTTACGCGAACATCACCGCGGCGTTTGTACCTCAAATTGTTGCGACGTGAATGGTAACAGTCATCCCTAAATACTTTTGCATTATTTCGTCAGTTAAAATTAAATTTACGACAGCTATTTAAAATTTTTATGAGACAGGTCGGACTACTTTTACGTAACAATGCGCCATTTAAATTTTTGTATCAAATAAATTATATATTATACTACGACAAAAGATACATTGCATTAGTTTCATACAGTGGAATGCTTAGCTTTCTGGGAACACCTAATGCAATTTTACTAATGAACGCGAAATTACAGAATATTACGAGCTTATATTTTACGTTTTTATATTAAACTATGCTTATTACACGTACATACATACAAGATTATAAACAGGCAAGTGCGAAATTCGATGCGCGAGATCTACCAGTTGAAAATTTTATTACAGCGATTAAGCGCGGTGTTCCGAAAATAATTGCGCAATTATTTTATAACAGAGCTCTCCCTTTCTTCCCTTTTAATGCAAGTTTTATGTCCACGTTGATTTCGAACGACACTCAATTTTTGTGACGTACATATTTTAAATTGGACGCCATAAATTAATTATTAGGTTGTTTTGTTAAACATATATTTGTTGTGCACTTAACGTAATAACGTAATCAATATTACGCCAACGACAAACTTAAGTGAATCTACGATACTGACGATCTGTCTCTTGATGACACCGTACGCAAATGTTATGCTGAAATAAAATTCTCTTCCATCCACTTTATTATCCTATCCATCGTATATCGAGATAAAAAACACGCGATACTTATAGGTAAAATTGTAAGAAAGTTGCGCCGAAAGCGACATATTTTCATTTTTCTTCAGTAAATTTCCCGTGAGAAATAAATGAATTTTTTTCAAAAGACAAACTCGCGTCCCTTTCGCGCGTTTTCCTTTTCGTTTGCTATTGTATATCCCGGCCTTTGAATATGGATTTAGGAAAAGGAGGATGCCTCGCAGGATAATAAAATAATATATTTCTAGGGCGCGCGCGCGCACACACATCTAAATTCTCACTTGTTTCGGATGTCATCATCGCATTTTTCTTGTGTGTGCGTTGTCCACAGTAACTTCCATTTTCGTTTATTTCCGCGCGTTACTCGACGAGAGGTGCACATACACAAACAAAAGCAATATAGAACAATGTACGCACTGCGGCAGCAACGACGAGAAATAACATAATCGATTCAGATTCTGGTAGTCTCTTTGTTAAATTTTAATTTAATAAGAAAAACGAACGTAATGTTTCCAGTTATTTAATTCTTCTCTTCTTACACGACACAAAAAGCTAAATTATTTGTTAATAACACTGTCAGTATTAATTTCGCAAAATATATTGTACAGATAATCATAAAACTATAAAAAAATAGGAAACTCTTACATAAAAAAATAGTTTACGTTGTGCAAACGTAAAGTGAAAGAAGTGATTATTTCTTGATTATTGATTAGTCGGTTTTTTCAACGCAATCGTTTTCTAACTTATCTATTTTTTATTTATCTATTAATTTAATACACACATTACTATATAGTTGTACCCTTTATTTTTCAAGAATTTAATTGTGTTTTATATTCACGGCGTATTCAGATTGTATGGATGCGTGGTATCCCTTCAGCAATGTTTGGATTTCAGAACAAAGGGGAAAAGAAAGATCGGATACCGTGCGAATACATCATAGGCTTTCCAACAATTCCGACTGCATTTCAAAAACCACGGGGGATGCGAAGTCCGACGGGCGATGACAGGATCAGCGTGGGGGTCGAGGTTCTGCCTCGTATTGGCGGCAATCACAATCGTTATCGCCAATTATCCACGGCATCGCGACAGACACCTGCGCGAGCAGCTCGTTAACAGCCACAAAGTCACCAGGAATATCACTCAACTGCAAGGTAACTGCGTTACACAGCGATACAATTCGTAGGTTCCACCTGATACGAATACCATAGTTTTTTCATAAATACCGAAGCAGAACGTAATTAAAATAAAACATTACCGATGAGTTGCTTTGTTTCTCATAGCGTTTTTACTGTAAAAACTAATGATAATTTGACTATTGATAAAAATTTTTTAAATTAAACAGTAAAACATTAAACACTAGAAATATGTGAACTGACTTTCACATTGGAACAATAAAATTGCACTCATCAGTGCGCACCAGTGTTGCACTAGTTTTCCCAATAGAAAACGCTGTTTTTTCTGCGAATGTAATTATTATGTTTTTATCTGCGAATTTATAGTTCTAATAAAGAAAGGAAAAGTAGAATTCAATTGGATTTGTGCCGTGTAAATGCGTTAGAGAATTGTGGCACGTGAATGTCTTAAGCATATTGGCCCACGAATATATCTCAGACTATCGCGCCGAATAATTTCCTGCACGTCGTAACATAATAAACGTCGCGCAGAAATTTGGAATCAAAGAGCAGGAAACTTCGGGTTTAATTACCTACTCTGAAGTTGAACACACTACGTGGCTAAGCCGAGAAACCGAGCCGTAAGAGTGATTCGTTTAATGTTAAAGTTAGTCGCACTTTCATGCACCTCACTTGCGCCGAACTTGCGAGGGTGGGAAAGTTTCGATAACATGTAAAATTTTACGACGTGATGCGGTTTGAGGTGATTAGGTTTTTTTTTACACACTTTGAAAGCGTATGTCGAACTATCGTGGTTCTATCCGAGAGCAAAAGCTGTCGATTGACGATGAGCTGCAAGAAAAAAAAAGAAGAGAGCATCGTCAACCTATTTCGGATCTTTTTGTTCGTGAACGAGCGTCGAAATTATTCTCCGTTATTTGCTGCGATTGGTAAATTACACATCGAATGGCTACATTGTCGATTTCCGATGGACTACAATCTCGTATCCTATATTAGCTTGACCGTGCGGATATTTACTTTCGGTGGATGCTTGCGCTCGGCTTTTCCGCCGAGAGCCAGTAAGAAGATGTACATTCGTCCTACATAGCTTTATAGTAGTTCCCGGATTTCAATGCTGAACCGATTAGACTTTAAAGAGTCGCTCGCTGCAGTCGACCGTTGTGCAGAACGCTCATGCAAGTACAATTTCAGGCTTTCATAGCAGTATGTGAAAAAAATTGTGCACGCCCGAGAGACGAGCACGTCATTTAAATTTCTTGTTGTTTTTTTTTTCGATGCTTACTAAAACGTCAAAAAATTCCGAGCATTAGAATGCTTGAGGCAAGGTACACAAAAGTATGTAAAAGTGCACACGTATATTTTCCTATCAATTCTTCTATATCAATTACTAATTTGTTTATTAAAACAAATATCTATTTCTTTCTCTGTAAAATATACAAACACGTAAATTCTGTTCTGTACGCGGAAAGAACGATTTTGCTAAAGTATCTAAAAATTTAACTATAGATACAGATCTGAAAATATTTTTGTTAGACCATCAAAATAATTATGTGAAACACTCAAATTGATTGCTAAAATGTCAAAATTTTTTACAGCATTATCATCATACTTCAGCGACCTACTATAATTATTTTGATGGTGCAACAAAATTATTTCAGATCTGTATCTAGCTAAATTTTTAGATATTTCAGCAAAACTGTTCTTTCCGTGTAATAATTCGCATCATATTAATAATAAATTGTTTAGAGTAATATATACAGTAGCCCATTCTCAGAACCTCATGAAAGTTTAACCTTGTCGCACCGTTACGACCATTTTTCTGAAGTCGCACTTAAAGTAATGCAGCGCAATCTTGTCAAGCGCTTTGAAAGAATCATCACCACGGTCGCTGTAAATGTAACTTTATAAGTTCAAAAAAAAAATTGTTTTAATGTTTCTATCCTAAAAATACAATCTCCTTCACCTTATGCAGTTCACTTTATGCAGCTTTTATGTCTGTTAAGTTAGCACCCCCTCCCCCACAAAAACCGGAATAACACATATGCAGAAATTAAGTGCTCTTTATATGCTAATTATGTGCTCTATTCACGATTTTTGTGCTCAAACGGTTTCGCGGAAAATCGCAATTGAAAGTGGGGATGCTGGCTTAACGTAAGCACCCCCACTCATTAAAATTACATATAAAATAGAAAACTCAATATGCTAGAATTATGTGCTTTTAAATGCCTCAAACAAAATTAGTCTATCTGTAATAGTTTAAAAGATATAGGGAAAACCGGGGCTAGTTGTCACACTTTTCAAATACTGATTTTAAAAAAAATGTTAACAATATTTTATAATATTGTATACTACTTTATAATGCAACTACATCCTTTAGGTGTAAGAAAAAAATGTTAGACTTGTATATATTTATACACAAAATGGTTATTTAATTCTAAGCAAAGCCGTGAAAATGTGACAACTTACCCCATACCCAGGGTTGGTTGTCACATGACTCTGGATTGATTGTCATGTATCGTTTATGTAGAGGAAACATACGACAAATGGTTCCTGTTTTAATATTTTATTAAAGTTAATGAGAGTTTTTGGTAACTTAATAATATATTGCAGCATAAATTAAACAAAAAATTAATAATTTTCATAAACTTTGTAATATAATTCTCATAAACTTAAAGTAAATGAAAGAATAATCATTCTCATAAACTTTGTAATACTTTCATAAACTTTGAGTAAATAAAAGAATAATAATTCTCATAAACTTTGAATCCCATCTCATTTGAGACAACTTACCCTGAACGGTTATTTTGAACAAAGAAGATTATATTTATAAACTATGTTGCAATAACTAAATACATGAAAAATTATCTAAAACTATAATATTTCTTATGACTAAACAGAAATTACGACTAGTAATTGGATTGTTTGTAGACATAAATACTAAAATCTGATATTTAATCTATTAAACCCTTGTATGAGATATAAATATTTAAATAATTTTTTGATATTTTAATTCTTTTATTAATATAATTATGCTATACATATTAAAAGTTAATTAATCTTTTTCTTAGTAACTACTGACATTTTCATAAGATTAAATATCATTTTTAACGATTTGCAAATAATTATTAGTGTACAAAATAACGTTACAAATATGGCAATTGATAAAATTGCTATAACATCCATTTCGGATTTTTTATACCAAGGTTCATCAGCGATACTGCTACGAAGATGAGAAGCACCTTTATGACGAATGACGAATTCAATCCACCAAATTACATGTTCCAAAGGATCATAAGGTTTATCTTCATTTAGTACTTTAACTTCGAGCATTCTTTCTTTATATCTAGAGAAAAGTAATAATTTTATATAAAAAGATCATGAAGAAAAGTAATATATTTTATATGAAAGAAAATGCATTACTTTACAATTGCATTTTGATTATAATTATATGAGAATTATGTATGTGTAAGATATAATGTTGCGTAGAAAATTAGACATTTCTTTAAAATAATTAGATTTCTACGAAAATAATTAATTACATAACACAAGAGAATGCTTATGTAAAAAAAAATGATTACCTTTTATCGGTCAATATATCTATTATGGATCCGTTCAAATTTTCTCTTGATATATCCATAATATTTAAACGTTTTGCAACTCCTAAAGATACCATTTTATTAACTTGAGTATACTGATCAATTAGCATTGGTAATCCTAAAAGTGGTACTGTATAATAAACGGCTTCTTCTGTACTTTGAAGTCCACCTTGATATATGAATAATTTAATGTTTGGATAAGCTGCAAAATGAAAAACGGAGCGAAATGGCTAATGAAGAGATACGTATAAACATATATTTTTATTAATCTGATTAAATTATGGCACTATATATTTACCGAGAATGCTCTCTTGAGGAACCCATTTAGCGGTATAGATATTGTCAGGTTTATTTGGCAATTCGCTGTCACATTTCCATACAACTTTGTATGGTAAACTTGCAAATACATCTCGAAATACGTTTCGTATATGCTCTGGAAACGTTGATGTTAAGACATTTGTGCCTAGACTCATATAGATAAATCCATTCGGTGCATCTGCTATAAATTCTTTCAAGTCCTGAAACGAAATAATTATTCGATTTTTATACTATATTTGAGAAGAAAAAATATATTGTACATATGGAAATTGATTTTAAATATAAAGCAAATAAAATGTATAATTTTTCAAACAATGAATTTTTAAGAATATACATAGTTTGAAACGTTTGAAAGCAATGATTACCTTTGGTAAAGCCGCGGGTTTTTTTGAAATATGAAAATTTCCAAGTACTAAAATATTAGGCATTGTCGGTCTAACAAACGAGAGAGCTTCTTGTTGACTGTGGAAAACAAGACTCATGTTTCTTTCCATATCTCTTATGTGTGGTATATTTTTTCCGAGATATTTTTCTGCTATCGCTTGCTGTTTAGGGTAATGATAATTTATTGAGTAATATATGTGATACCACTGACGAATAAAATTCTTTATCCTCCGCCACAATGACAGATTTAAACCGGTATCATCTCCTATTTCCCAATTCGAAGTATGTGATGACAGAACAGGTGCACCGAGTTGATAATAAAGTGTATTACGCAATCCGAATGATGACACACCTGTAAATAAATATAGAATAAGTTATGTAAACGTGATTAATTTAAACAACATTTGAGTTTAGAAAATTGTGTAAATAATATCTTTATAAAGATATACGCACATGCCAAGATAACTTTTATGTTTCTTTGGATTATTTAATGATGATGCAAAGAGAATAAAAAATATCTTGACATTAAACCAGGTAGATAATGACATTATATTTTTTAACTAATTTTATGGACATAAAACTTATTTAAATAAAATATAAATAAGTAAAGTAAATAAATTAAATAATATGGGGTTTAAATGTACGAAGGTACAGGATATTAAAAATTTTTAAGTTGAAATAATTTATGGCTTTCTTCAATGTTTTCGCTAATATAAAATGAATTTTAAATAACACATTTGTGTAAAATAATTTCATATATATTATTATTCTTACCTATGAGAGGTGCATTAAATCTATGCGCCAAAGTATAGAAGCTAGGTACTTTTACAGTTTCTACAATTACTAAGTCGAATTTTTCATCACTATCCGGTGCATACATCTTACGTACTTTTGGATGCTTAAAAATGTTTTCTGCTACATCTCCACACGCAGGCCATATTTGTGTGCGTGATGTACTTAACCACTCATGAGTCCCCGCTATAACGTTTTTGGCAAAATTTAATTCCATTAACTGGTAGTTAGATTGAAAGTTGATTTCTGTCAAATTGGTTAAACTAGGATCATTGAGCGGATCTGTTGTTATAGAGACGACTTCGTGTCCTCTTTGGCTCAAAGCGATCCATAATGGTCGATAACAAATTTGGTGACTGTAGGATGGTATTGGAACAATAGCCAAGATCCGTGCAGTTTTTACTGGTGCCGCAATGTATAAAAAGCTTATCCAAAATATCGTTTCAGCAATCGGCTTCATTTTACGTCAATAATAAGCAGAGCATAGTAAACTTAATTATCATCGATGATAATTCAATAAAATATTCGTTCTTATTTGTATAATTGTTCTATTTTTTTATTCGTATAAAGTTCACATATTTCTTTATTAATAATGAATAATGATTTGTACACACGAAATATTTATTGCAATTAAATTTTGAGCAATATTGCAGTGCGCTTATTTTCAAAAGTGCATATTTGATATCTATAGCAAATAATCCATTCCGCAAATAGGTTTTTTTTGCACTAGACTGCACTAAAACTTCTCTTCTTGCTTTTGCCAAATATCAAACATATACTTATTTCACTGTAAGTACAGAGTTCACTTAAGTACAGAACAGTGTACACTAGTTTAGCTGAAAAGCAGATCTTATTTGTTTTCCCAAAATAGATGAAATAATTAATTATTGGTACAAAGTTATTTCTTACCTATCAAGTACGTATAATCAATTACGTATCAAAAGTACGTAACAACTTCAGAGATCTTCATTCACACTTTATGACGTGCAACTGCGCGCAAAAATATATTTGAATTATACAAATATACTCATCTGATTACTAGAATGAGGTTTTAAGTAAATCATGCACTACTTAAAAGACTTAGGCCTGTATTTATAATTGTTATTCACATCTCAAGAGCGTATCAGGTGAGATACTCAAAATTGCGTTTTACATCTTGAAACGCAGACAGTTCAATAGTTATGTTTTGATTAGAGATTAACTGAAACTTTATTTATAATTATATTTTGTTAATATTAATAAACTCAATCTCTTTTCAAGTTATTTATAAACCATATTTAAGTGATACACAATTTTCTCCGACTCAATATTTAATTGATGTTTTTTTCTAAAAAAAATGACTATTAAACTATCAAAAATAGATTTTAGATCACATCTCAAAACAATCTACAGCTAAGTTTCTCTCACTTAAACTACGATTACAAAAATAATGTATCAAATATCTCAAATTGATTCTCAATCAAGATTCATCTATTAAAACATATCACGACTCAAAACTCACTTCAGGTTTTCAACAGAAACACGACTTTATATACGGGCCTTATCGAAGCTTGCATTTACATTTAGAATACATATTCAAAATGTATTATTAATAATTAATAAATCTAAATATATTAGCAATATTGATAGTTGATATATTTAATTATAAATATTCAATATAATGTTATCTATATATAATTTACAGCTTATTAGTAGTCTCGCTAGATATATAATTAGACATACTGCTGTTCAAATACGATTTTACGTACATAAAAAAAATATAGATTTTTTTACGTATATCTTTTAAACTATTACAGATAGACTAATTTTGTTTGAGACATTTGAAAGCACATAAAAAGCACATAATTCTAGCACATTGAGTTTTCTATTTTATATGTAATTTTAATGAGTAGGGATACTAGCTTACGTTAAGTCAGCACCCCCACTTTCAATTGTGATTTCCCCCGAAACCGCTCGAGCACAAAAATCGTGAATAGAGCACATAATTAGCACATAAAGAGCACTTAATTTCTGCATATATGTGTTATTCCGGTTTTTTGTGGGAGAGGCGTGCTAACTTAACAGATATGCAGCTTTTACTGTTCGCCATACATTTTACACGTTTATTTTTCAATATATATTTATATCCTGCTATCTCGTGTGTGATACTGATGCTCCTGTCAAGACGAGAAAGTCGCGACGAGTATAAGCCCGGAGTTCACCCGATGAAATATTCAATTCAAAACTCGTTTGGTGACTTGTCATTCGACTGTAGCACATGGCTTTGCACGCGTGAATGTTGGCTGCGCACACACATACACACATACAAACTGTCTCATGCTATTTACAAAGTTTGTCGTTGCCAATCCACGCCATACATTTTACGACTTCGACATAACACCGTACTGAGAATCGTAAATGAAATCTTCCCATTCTTTCTCGCTGGAATCCCCTTATACTTACGGGCTAAACAATGACTTCTTTTTTTTAAATTACGATTGCAAAAGATCTTTCAAAATAGAGCAATTTCCCAAATTTTTTATACGGTCTTATTATTCGACTAGATCTAATATTTACTCAATATATAGATTCCTGATCGCATTGACATAACAATTGGTTTACAGTAACGCTGACGAGAATCTCTGTGTAGTATTTGATATATCAAAGGAAACAACGAGACACCAGGTACAGACGGTTATTGTGTACCGAACTTCTGGTTTGTAATGAAGCGTACAGGTACGAGACACGTACGTGGATGCGTAGCAGGAAGCGAATCTGACCATGCACGTTTGACCTATTTGTCACACTGCGGAATTACAGATCTCTCTCATATGCATTCATTTGTTATTAGGCTCAATCAAAGTGGAAATAGACATAGCAAGCATAGTGTTATAAAAAACATATAAAAAATTCGAAAAAAATGACAATGTGAATTAATAAATAAAAACAAGTCACCGTTATCACCATCAATTTGATAATTAAAAATTAAGATATAATAAAAAAATTCGACAAGATTTCTGTAAGAAACAAGCAATGTACTTTTTGAACCTTATCAGGATATAATTAAATTACGCAGAAATTAAACTCTTCCTTCCGTTCCTGAAGCGCATTTGTACATTGAAACTCTTCCTCCAGTGTGGAAGTAGCAATCCAATTACAGCAGCTAATTTTAATAGTGTAAGTTATACGAGAGAGGTGAAATTGCATAAATACTTGGATGTGCAACGTCAAGGTACCGCAATGATAGGGGAACGGGGAGAGGACCGCGCACAGAATTACGGACACGTTGGGTTTAATATCGTTCGAGGGGGAAGGTTACCTTGCGGATTACATACAAAGTTTCGTCGTTGCAGGCAAGCATGTCATCTTGCTAGATTTGCTACCTGTCCGCGAGTATCCTTTGTCGAGGGATAAAACTCGCGAAAGGGATAACTTGTCATCTTAATAAACTGTTGACCTTGCGATATTGGTTTTCGCTTGATTGATAGGTCATATCCTTCCATTACTTATGAGAGTAATTACAACTTTCGCGACGGTGTCCTTTGTGACCTATAATTTAGGAACAACGTTGCTGCACCGCCAAGTTTCTCAACGTCGTCGTGCCTTACCGGCGAGCAGCCGGCGTATAATTTAAGAAAGAAATTTTTGAAAGGATTTTATAAAATAATTCCGTGTATAAATCAATACATTAAAGAATATTAAATATTATTACGTGAGTAAATAGCATAAAATGTACGATAAACTCAAATATTGTTTAAATTATGGTTTAAAAACTTGAGCTCAAAACAGTTGTACGCGCATTTTCTTTCTGCACGAAAAGTCATCGTACAACTTTTCGCAGTCGAACGCTGGGTCCAACTTATACGCATTCCTCCGACCCGTAATTGGATTCACGTCGGGCACAAAGTACGAGAAACTCGCAAACGTCGTCTCATTTCGACGGTGGGTTCGCGGGAGCATCAACAGAACTGGTACTGGCCGATGAAAAATGAGCGACAAGACGAATGGTAGCATCTTCGGCGATGGTAACATTCTTGCCATAAGGCGATGTAGGGAAACAAATGGTCTTTTGGATGTATATTTATTACGTCGCGCACGACCTCGATTGTGGAGTGCAGTCGAAACCGCGCATCTCGGATTCGCACGAGCGGTGCCACGCCGCAAGGTAAACGCGGGAGAAAAGGGATGAGACAAAGGGAATCATAGACTTCTCCTCAAACGAACGTAGTGTGATGCGCGCGGCGTTTTTCGTAAAAAACCTTGTAAAATTTTCTACAGAAAATGGATGTAAAATGTGAGAACGATCAGGTGCATTTATACTCGTTACTTAAATTAGTAAAAATCGTATCTTTTTCTCGTGATATCTAATTATTGAGCGATTCGATGAATAGTATCGTGAGAGTGAGAAATTTCTACAGCATGCAAATAACGTCGTGTAAAAGTTTGCACAGGCACAATGAATTAGTAATTCTGACGACAAATATTTTCAGAGATCCTATTATCTGGGGTTATGACTCGCATACACCAGCGAATATTATTCGAGCCGATGGAACCCGGAGGTCGTTTGGGGACCTGATTTTCCCCGGACAACTGCAGAATTTATATTCGGTCACTTTAAGCGGCACGTTCGTTCCGCGTCCCAATTAAGACAGTTCTCGTCGCAATTAATGACTGCGAGACTGCGAGCTATCGTACGTCTGAAACAGAGGGTTTGCGACACTCAATTAAGATTGCACATAGATCGATAATAAAACACTTTTGCAAATACTTCAGTCCCGGTGTGTCTCGTAAAAGAAAAAGAAAGCAGATTCTCCGTTTGTGGGTTCAGCTGGTTCCCCATTAACGTTAATGAAAGAAGTGTATACAGTGATTTTGAACTTTTTCCATTATGTCAGATTCCGGATGTCTAATGGGCACACTCTTAATTAAAGTTGTTTTACTTGATTGCAGATTTCGTGATCGCGAAGATCCATTTATAATTTCATCGTCAAGAGTGTGTTTCGGGTTATTAAGAACCATCTTCGTAGGCGTAGGTATTAATACTGCCATGGCGCGTAATATGGTTTTCCTGCCTACGGGAACATCGATCGTATAACACAAAAGCGCATTGTGATGCACCGCAATATTACCGTATCTGCCGAACGCCCTTCGGAAGCCTGTAATGCTTTTTTAATGCCGTATTCGATGTGACCTGGATCCGGCCTCTGGTATATTGGATTATTTTACAATTTTTCAGGTCGATTTTTATTTATTATACGTAAAAAACGCGGTGTATACGGTGTCCCTACGCGTATTATCGGAATTCGTACAACGCAAAGACTTCCTTTCCTCAGCAAATTAAATTAATGCATTGCCGGATATAAAGACTGCGACTTGTAAAGTATTCCGACTGCGGATAACATTAAATTTTATGGCAATCGTTAAGGAAATCTCTCGCTCTTGCTTCTTTGCGCCTGGATTTACGGAGCTTCCCCTCTTATTCTCTCGCCTATGTATTTTTTGCATTTTATATTTCGTCGCGAATGATTAATATCGCGCACCGAATGGAGCTGCGGAAATCGTCGTTTGCGCTTAAACTGAGAAAAAAGGGTTTTATCCAACGCAGCTGTCGATACGCGTTTACGCGAACTGGATTATACGCGGAGCGTGTAACGCACAGCAGTCGCTTTAGTGGCACTAAAATCTCGGTGCCGGCTTACACGCACACATTGCATTCGAGCGGCAAGGCACAATCTGCGCTCTTGTAGGGATCGCAGAAATGCTCGGTTAGCTTTCGCGAAGCGCCAGAGCACAATTAAAAACGAAGACCCGTTATTCTCAATTGAGAATAACGCGGCGGGTAAGTGTTCCCACCGCAGGGGACATAAATCACTCGCTAATTCTTTCACGCGCCGCGTTTCGCAATCTTTTTGTTCGCATACGTGGCATAACTTAATTAATCTGAATTTTGAATAATCGTCAAAATGTATTTCAAAAACACATATTTTGGGAAAAAATAAAGTATCTTCTTGTTTCAGTATCGGATAAAAATTTTATTTATCTTAAAATAGTGAAAAATCTATAACAAATAAAAATCTATTACTAATAAATGAATACCTAATCGAACGTTAACTATGAATAAGTAAATAATCAAATATTTGCAACATATGTGAACATCGTATATATAAAAGTTAATCAGGGCAAAATACCAAAAA